GCCACTCTTAGCAACACTTGACTTAGGCGGAAAATTCTTCTTCTTTTTCCCTTTAAAGCTTCTCTTCTTGCCCGAGCGCTTAAAAAGCTTGCCCTTTCTCACCATGAGCAGCATGTCATGCTTCCCTCATCTTTGAGGGTTTGCTCGACCTGCTTCAACTTACCATGAAGCTCGGTGAGAGTTTTCTCCATGTTGTGCATATTATACTTCATCTTCAACTGATCATAGCCTTTGTGTAACGAGTGGAGAATGATGTCAATTGCCATCTCGGTCGAATACCCAACATCGAGCCTTTCTATGTTCTCAAACAATCCAATCATTTTAAGAACATGCGGGCTGACTGGCTCTCCTTTCTTGAGCTTGCTCTCAAGGGTCTTCCTGTGGGTTACGAACCTTTCAGTTTAGGCCTGCTCTTGAAACATATTTTGAATTTCAGAAATGATCTCAAAAGCCGTCTCATTTTCAAAGAAAGTCTTTTGAAGGTCCGGAGACATAGTGGCCAACATGATGCACTTGACATCCTGATTGGCACTTTGCCATCGGTTAAGGGCAACCTGGGTGACCTCCTCATTGAGAGTGTCGGGCATTTCCTCATCAAGGACGTATTCCTTTTGTTCTTGCTTGAGAACAGTACGTAAATTCCTTTGCCAATCAAGAAAATTTGGCCCACTCAACTTCTCTTTGTCGAGAATTGAGCATAATGAAAACTGGTTGTTTGAGTTACTTGCAGACATGTTTCTACAGTTGAAAGAATTTGAAATGAAAAAACCATTCATAAACCAATAAGTTTGAAATTTAAAGCGTTCATGCGAATTTTCAATCTTATTGAGCATTTTATCCACGCATTAACATTAGTCCCTTTTAGGAGAGAATAAAATGATTCCAAGATCCCAAAAATCAAAAAGTGATTAAGCATACTTTGGCTTGTCTTAACACTTAATATTTTAGGGTAAGAAATCCAATTGCTAATAGCTCCAAGCTGCTCTTGGTTCGATAAAACGTCGCAACTAATGCTTCCTTGACATTTTATCTCCATTGCCACGACATTTAAGGCCTCCTTACCGATATCGCTGAGGTTAACCAAGACAACTTGTATACCTAGTATACCTTACGTTCCTAGGGAAGTAGTGATGCCTCGCTTTGGCGTAGCCCATCACATACGCGCATTAGTTCGGTAAGTGTTGTTCTTAGAATGGCATATTTTAGCTCAATATTTTAGGGACCTAGGGTTTCTATGTTGGTTGATTTAAGTGAACTTAATTAATCATCGCAATATTTGAAATCCTAAACATGCACCTAACATATCATTCACATATATAAGAACAATTATATATAGAAAACATGAAATAAAATGCATTTGGCAACTAGCATGACCCCTTGAAATCTTCAAATCTTCAAGAGTCTTCATCTTGGCTCATCTTCATAGAAACGCTGTCTTGAGACATCTCCGCCAAAATAAAATTACTAGCTACTACGACTACGATTAATCTAAATTTTAAGGTACAAAAATACGTAACGGTACGCCAAACGTATTTAGATTTACAAAAATACATAACAGATCGCAGTCCGTATTTACCATCCTAATCGGGCCCCACTAGTTGCCATTTTCACGAAACCTGTGAAACAATATATCTTCCATTCATCCATTCACTATATGTGAATGACCCATGCATTTTACAACGAAAAACAAGTAACAATGCATAACGCGCGCGAACTTGTAACTAACTTAGGTGGTTAATCCAATTAACGTGCCTAATTAAAACTAGTCAAAGTTGTTTAACATTTTATGTGATTAAGACGCAATTAGTTCATGCAATTAACGAAGCTCCCACTAAATTCCGCATCCAACTTAATTAATCCAATTAATTAAGCCGGTTAACCCAAATTTTGTCAAAATTAAAATTTTGCAAAAGCCGAAAAAACCGAGGCCTAGCCTCGTTAAAATAATTAAATAAAATTAAAATGGCAAAATATTGCAAAAAACGATAGCCCAATTCAAGCAAGAAATCGACCCACCCAAAAAATCGTGGGATGCGCACCATGGCTGCTTAACAGCACTTTAGAGATGCGGCTGCATGTGCTGGGTGCTGGCATGCTTGCCCAGCAACGCATGCCACGCTTGCTAGCACCAGCAGCTTGTTGCGCATGCTGCGTATGCTGGCTGCTTGTTGGCGCTGTCAGGCGAGTGGCTGGCTTGCTGGGGTTTGCTGCCTTGCTGCCCAGCAGCACGCACAAGCATGGCCAGCAGCCATCCACCACGCACCACGCACACAGCAGCGCATATAAGCCTAGCCACACAGCAGCAACAACAGTTCGAGGTGGAGCACCTTTATGTGCACCTAAGGCAGCCACATGTGGGCTACGTGAGCAGCCCGGCTAGCCTTGGCGGCGCTTGGGTGTTTTTGCCTCAATTTGCGTGCTTTTTCTTGGGATTTTAATCCCGTTATACTTGTGACATAAAATTAATTCTAAATTTATTTTAGAATCAATTTAGGGCAAAAATGAAATTAAAACAACTCCAACTTAATTTTTTATTTTTTTTTATTTATTTTTTAATGGTGCACAAGCCTAAATTATTCAAGAAACATTCTTAAAACAATTTAGGTCTTTCTTTATGCTACAAAAATTGAAGGGCTACGCTCATAATTAATTCAACAAAATATAAATTAATAATGAGATTTGACTAAATAATGGGATTGGAAAAATAAACCCATTCATCCAATGAAAATTTTCCAACTTTAACTTGTGTATAAATGAAAAATTACATCTTCCAATATGAAGATTAATCAAAAATCAATCACAAGTTTTGAACTTTAAGGATTTTAATCAACACAAAATAATTAAATCCAAAATTTAGTTCAACATGGAATTTAGCAATTAAAGTTCCAACCAAATAAACAATTAAATATTGGATTTTTGAAATATTTAGGGCTTAAAAAATTACAAGTTCATCATAAACATACATACTTGAAGCAATTAATTTGCAACAATATGAAAAAATCAAGTTTATGTGAAAAATGAACATACCAAATTAAGCACCAATTATGACTTCATAAACATGCTTAATGAGGTTTATAATTGCAGTAGATTAGGGATGCAACCATACATTTAATCTACCTTCAACATGCAATCATTAGTCAAGGTTAAAAGATTTAAAAATTTTCGTCAAAAACGAAAAACCCCTCGAAAAACATATTTCCAGGTGCATTTTGGCTTATGGACAATTCTGAAAGGGTCAGAAACGATTTAGAACATCGATTCCACCCAAAAATCACTATTTTTGAGTCGAAATCTGGGTTCGTCAGCCAAAATTAGAAAAAATACGAGATTAAAACTAATTAAAACGAACTTCTAATCCAATTAGAAAGCACAACCAGAAATTTAAATCCATTTTAAATCACCTTAATTAACTATTTGTTACAAAAATTAAAGTGAGCGCGGCTCCAATACCGATGTTGGGTTTCGTAGAGTCTGACTCTACGCGAATGTGAAACCCGCCCAAGACCCGCCCACTAATTAAGGCAACTAAGCATATAATCACAAATTAAACAACAATTAAGAGAGAAAAGGAAAAGACATTCTTACCCTTGGTGCGTGCTTTGCTCGAATCCCGAGCTCTTACTTCAAAACTTGAACCCCGCAAATGCGAAGGTCTCTAACGGCTCGTACCCACGAACCCGACCCGAACGGTCCTAGTCCCAAAGGTTAGTTGGGACTTGACCAATAAAAACTAGAGTTTTACGAACTTAAGGTTTTCTCACTTTCCAAAGGAGATGCCTTTTTAGTTCCACTCAAGTGTTCTTCCCAAATCCTAAAGCCTTGGTATTTATATGGAAATGAACCTTGAATTCCCATTCTCAATCAATGTGGGAGATTTGCAATTTTCCCATTTTATTTTAATCAAAACAAAAATAAAATTGCAATTCAATCACCAAGTTACAAGTGGCAAAAAGAGGAGAGGGAGAAGGTGCGGACCACCAAGGGAGGGGACCAACCTACCTTGCTCCCCAAGGCAATGACCAAGCAGTGGTCCCCTCTTAGCAAAACCAGACCACCATGCAAAGTGGTTGGCTGACAGCCTGCCAGCTGGCGCCTAGCACCAAGGCTGGGCTAGCCAGCCAGCTAGCACACTCGCACAGCCAGCCGCAGCCAGCCAGTGTATGCGTGCTGCTAGCGAGCCACACATGTTGGGCGCTGCTGCTATGCAAGGCACAACGTGCTGCTGCTGCTAGCACACACGCACAGCCAAGCATGCCTAGCACCTTGCTGGCTGGTGCGTGTTGCTTGCAATGCTACGAAGCACTGAGCTGCTGCTGTGCGAGGCCCAGCACGCATGGTGTGCAGCAATGCCTGTCCCAGCTAGCACGCATGGTGCTTGGCTGCGAAGGCTAGGTGCATGGCTACGATGCTTGCGAGCAGTGCTAGGCTATGCTTTGCGCCAGCGCCAACGCCTAGCATGCTAGCAAGGCCTAGCCTTGCGATGGCTGGACGCATGGCATGCTAGCACGTACGCAAGGCTGTGATGCTTGCGATGGCTAGCTAGCATGCATGGCCCTAGCACGCCTAGCATGCTAGGCTTATGGCTAGCATAGCGATGCACATGCTAGCTCGAGATAGCCTACCCATCGCATGGCTAGGTCAATGCGAGGCTACGACCCTAACTCGAACTTGTAAATTGATTGATTTCACGTCTCGTCGAATTCTAAATTCGACTCGACTTGCGACGCTCTAAGCTAGATATCCGACGTCTTTGTTCGTAAAACTTTGACGACTCATTAAATCTTTCAGATTTATTCGTCGTCTCAGATCAATCGTTCGATTGGGTTCGACATGAAGCGTTCAGTCAAGATTAAGCTGTAACATTAATTGTACATAAATATTACTGATCGGAAGCGGCCTCCATTTAGGCATTCCGATCACTTGACCTTACCGAAGTATTAGCTTTCTAATAATTCTGAACCCTCTATCGGAATAATACACTTGTTGGAAGGACACCATTCTTTTCAATTTCCAAAGGGAGATTTGATTTCAACGCAATACAAATTCGGAACAATGTAGGTTCGCAGTTTAGAGCATCGTTACAATCTGGGAGAAGAACTTGAAACCAAAATAAAATCCATTACTGCTAAGACAAAAATCCAGTTACACATACATTCACCTACAGTGCAAATACACCAACACCCTAAACTAACCTCAGACACAACCGCTAACACACGACAACTAGGATTGTCAATAAAATTGGCCAATGAAGGGAGAACAACTGTTTTTGCATCGCGACCTCCACCAAAAGGAACAACGTCAACCTATAAAGACAACCCACAACACTGAAAATCACTCTTAATTAAGGTGAACACATCACGCAGCAGATACAAAAGTACTGGACGAAATTCAACTCACCAACACAGAAGCTAACAATACTGGTAAACCACCAATCAACATCCAGGTACCACCCCTCAGTAGCTGTTAACATTAAAGGCAGATTGATTTCACAATCCATAATATTAACAATTCACATAGGGAATGTGCAGGTGTAGAACTTACCATGGAGGTCATTCTTCTAAGCAAAGCCAAGGACCCCTTTGATATCAACCTGGAATTACATAAAATTAAGCTCACAAACACAAGCAAACTTTGTAAATGATGAATAAAGTAATATACAACATATTGAATTGCTTTTACCTCCACAAATCATCTACTTTACAACGTGTAGCATCATACCCAAGTGTAGTTTTGCCCAGGGACACACTTGGAACCATTTCTTCCAAATGTAGTTTGATGTTACTACAAACCATTCCCTCGCCCTTGTCAACTTTGGAATGGGGAAACTTTGATGATGTTGCTCCGTGCCTTCGTTTTCGGTTACCCGTGCCTGGAATGTCATCATCAAGCACAACCATCACAAAAAACTAACAACAATTAATCATTTTTTAGCCCAAATTTGACAACTGCCTCTAAAGGGTTAAAGGGTACCTGAGTTTCCACACCCGGGCCATCCGTATCTCTGGCTTGCCTTGGATTAGTCTCGCCATAAGCAACATCCAAAGTCTGTGTGAACAACACTGGGACAAATCAGCTTAAAGCAACTACAAATACATAAGACAGAATTCACAACTAGTAAGCCACAACAGAATTCACAACAATACTGACATAGTACATACCCCTGCACATCCATAATCACCCCCCATCAGTGATTTATCTTCCTTACTAGCGAGCGAAATCTCTTTCATAATCCACACCTTAAGCCTAGGAAAATTGCCCCAATCTACAGCCTCTCTATCAAGTCTATCTAAGTAAAAAACCTGATCAACAAACAACTTATTATTATGAAAGAATCAGGTAGTACATCAATCAACATGAATGTAAAAACAGCATATAACCTATTGTACCACAGCAAATAAAATGCATCCTCCCCATCCACCAGCATGGCCATATGAATAGAATTGCCGGGCAAAGGACCTCACACTTTGAAGAAGCTTAGACATAACCAGCGTGCACCAATCGTATTGAACAGAATCCACAGAACAAGTCAGGGCAGGAACCAAATCAGTTGCCAACCTGGAAGACAACGCAGGACATAACAACATTTCCAGTGCAAGCAATAGGAACAATGTCTTGAATTCTTCCTCCTCGTGTTCTTCCCACTCTAGCCTCTCCATAAACTCAGGATATACTGGAATTCCAACAGACTCGTACATCCCATGTTCTTCCCTGTTCTTCCGTGTTTTACCATACTTTGACAGTATTAGGTTAACCTTGTCACGCTGAACATGTTTTAATGTTGTGTATGACGGCACCATCTTTGACCCATTAGGGATGCCAAGAACCCAATGCACTTAATTTCTAGATAACCTTAAACACTTACCATCTGGGGTAATAAGCTTCTTATTGAACGAATCTATTTGGGTCATTAGCCAATACCCCAACTGCCTTGGAAGATGCATGTCACCGTACCAGACAGATGTAACAATCCAGCAAATCCCATTTCAGTAACCCACCGTCTGTGACGGGAGTCAAACATTTGACATATCCTTGCAAAGCTCTCAACCCGGCAATTCATATTAGGTGGCTGTAACAATAGAAAACAACCATTACATCTAACTGCGTCTTGCTCACAAATTTGATTAACCACAACATGAATTTTCTCAAATTACAAATTACCTTTGACCGAGACTTGAAAAACTCCTTTAGAATTCACCTTTGGCTTTCACTCGCCCACCCACACTTAAACTGTCATCCTACAAGTTCAGATTTCGACAACATTTTCAACTCAATTCGCAACATCAACTATAATTCTCAACTACAGTGTGGAATTACACGTTACCTTAAACATTGCTGGAAACAGGAATTTCATTTCATCTGAGGACATAACAGTTCTTCAATTTCAAAACACTACAAAACCAATACAATTTTCATTTAACAAACCAACCACAATTCATTTAGAATCCGTAAATTATACTAACAATCCTACTCAATAATTTCGCCACATACTACACTAACAGCTAATAATCACAATACTTCTTCACCTAGCAGTCAAAGCAATTGATGTCCAAAGACGACATACAACTACCAAATAACATAAATTAATCGTACAAACCACGTACCAGGTACGAATTGTTGTTCAAAAACTCCCTTAAGTCGATTACACCATTTTCCGAATCGACTAAACGATTCCCCACCCCCCCCCCGCCCCCGCCCCCAGCCCCGCCCCAACTGCCGCTACGCTTCGACGACTCTAATCCCGGTAAAATTCGTAATTGAGAACACCTTCAACCTCCAATTTTTGCAGCAAGGTTCAATTTCAGGTGTTTCCGAACAAGGTTTCAGATTATAGTTTCGAATTTGGGGGAATTGAGGAATGTGGATATTAGGGTTTCGAAATTGGGGGCGAATTTCCGAGTAATGGAGGGTCGGAGGAAAAATATGTTGACTTGGGAACGTTAGTTTGACTAACTTCCGCTTTTGCCATGTCACAGTGCCGTCTTCCATTCATATGCATGTAGTTACGACACTACCCTTCATTAAATGTGCGAATGTACGAAATTGCCCCTAGATTTGCAAGGTTTACAACTCAGCCTGATGATTATGAATTTCCTCTATCACCAGAGCATGCAGATTCATTGGAAATGGAAGCTTTACAGTTTACACCACCAAATCCAAATAACATATATGACCGGTTGTATAAATGAAAAGTGCGTAAACTTAATTATAATGAAAAGAAAAGAGAAAAAAAAAAAAAAACTGGCTAAGGTTGTAACAAAAAGTGGATTTATACAGATTTTTCAATCTAGCTAGTACATATCATGCTTAATTGGCCTATCACCCCTCAATGTGTGACATTCAATTAAATAAATGACAATATTAACAATGAAAGTGAAAGAAAATCTGTTACCAGCTTGACATGTTCTTTGAAGTATCAAAAAAAAGAGAAGCATAAAGTAATCGATTCCAAGTATCGGGTAATCCAGGAAGGCACCAATGACTACAATCGGCATAGGATGGAAGAAACCTTTTATATTTGGTGGTGTAAACCTTCCATTTCCAGCTGCTCCTATACACGGATGGATGTGCATCAATTCTATACTCCGTAAGCTTGGTGATGTTCAAGTACTTCACTAGTGTTTTATTCATTGATTTGATTGTGTTTTCGATAATATTGATTAGTGATTTCGGAAAGGAGGATTTATAGGAATCGTTACCCTTGATAGGTGTAGTTAAGTTGTAACACCAATGCTTTCCAACGTGTACTGCTGAAATGCTCCTAAAAAACACACTTGTTTTCTTGGGGTCGACGTTTTCTTCAATCCATTCCGCCCATGTTTTCATGCCCAAATCATATGCCAATTCTATTGGCATATCTTCTAGTAGTTATCCTTTGTATTGAATTAAATCCCACCTGAATATGTGCATATGTAAGGTTAATTACTATTTTCTTTTCGGAACATAAAAGACTATCAAGGGACGGGGTTATGCATAAAATGTTACATAACTAGCTATACACTTCGTTACAGAGTAATTAATGGATACTTCCGTTTTATAATAGTTTTAACATTTTTAAATCTTTTGCATGGTTTACAATACTTGTACATAGAATCATGTATCATGATTCATGCACAGAACAAAACTCTATTTTGAGTAATGAATGTACTAAGTTACTAACTAGAGACTTGATATATATATTACTAGAACTAAATGATGCACAGAACAAAACTCTATTTAATTTAGAGTAATGTACTAGAGACTTTAGATATTAATAGAACTCAATGATGCACAGAGCAAAACTCTATTTAGAGTAATGTATTATTATATGCTTAAATAAGTAATATCATCACCCCAACTTCCGCACACCTTAATGTTTCATGATCATCATAATGCAATCATTTATTTTTGTTCAGCCTTTATGCTTAAATAAGTAACATCACACCAACTTCCACACCCCTTTATGTTTCATAGTCATCAGAATACATTTTTTTTTTGTTTTACATTTGTTGGAAATTTTAGTAGATATCACATTATAAAAACCAAAAATTTTGAGAAACCACCATTATAAAAATGTTGTAATGAACTACTTAAAAAAAAAAAAAAAAAAAAAAAAAAAAAAAAAAAACCTTTGCTGCAATTTACCACATGTTGCTGGAATATGTGATGTTGACCATTAACTCTGACACTGATTACCCAAAGTCCAACTTACCGGGGTCACTACCACCAACATACAAGAAATGACCACATGCTCATTAATCAACAACGATGTCTATGACTTACATTACGTATTGTGGGTTGTGGCCATAGGTGGTATATTGCAACAAAAGATAATTTATAAGATGGTTTGCTACAACATTCTTTTTAAAGGTGGATTCTCATAATTTTGGCTTTTACAAGGTTGTTTCTTATAAAATTTCCATTTTTTCATGTTATTAGCCTTACCAATCTAGCTACACGATGTAAAGATTTAATTAGTATTACCGGTCTCTTTTTCTCTCTACTTTAGAACAAAATGTTAGAATATATTATGGGAATATTATATAAATTCATTTAGACTTTAACCTAGACGCTAAAGATTAATACAAACTCTCTTCTTGCTTTGTTTGTAGACAAAGATAACTCATTGTGAGTAAACCACGGAAAATAGGTTTTCTTATTTGTTGATTTCATTATTTTTCTTACATCCATCGATCAATACAACAATCCATTCATTCAATTAAATCTTTCTCATTTCCTTTTGATATGTGTATGTAAATATATATTTTACTGCGGATATAGTTATAATCTTCAATTATATGTTAGTTAAAATTATATATAATAATTTGATATTCTAAAAGTCTTGTTGAGACAAATCAAACAAGAGTCTTTTTAATTGTGTTTATTTATGTATAAGAATGAATTTAGAAGATTGTTTGAAACTGCCAATAATGTCTAGATTTCATATAAAACTTAACAGCTGGTTTGGGTTATGAAAAGGGAAGGAAAAGAAAGGGAGGGAGGGGAAGAGGAGAGAAGGGAAAGGTAGGGGAGGGAGTAATTATGATTATTCTTTCAATCTCTCTATTGTTGAAGAGATTGATCAATTCTTATATATAATTTAATCCCTTCATTTCTCTCCCCTTCAATTCCCTTCATCCCTCATTTGTTATCGAAACAAAAGATACTTCATCCCTCCATTTTCCTTCCCTTCCTCCCGTTTTTTCAATATCCTTTAATCCGAACACACTCTAAAACAATGAGAGGAGTAGAATAGAGAGTGTTACGAGTATTCAAAACAGATTAATAATAAAGTAAGTGTTGCAATTACTTAGAAATAAGGGAAGCATTCTTTACTAATACTATATAATAATTAAATAAAAGTTTGTACTATAGAGCGAGAGTGCAATAGTAGGATAAAGTTAAAGTGGTTGCATCAATTACTAACGAAATAATATGTATATATGTTACAAAATTTTGGTCCCAACTTAGCCACTTGTATTTCTTTTTAACATTTTTGTTTTATACCATAAACTTTTACGTAAGATTTAAATACAAAAGATTTATTTGTCTTTATATTTTACATTCTACAAAAGATTCAAGGAATATATAGACTTTCTTATGATTAAAGATGTGTACAAAATGTAATGACGATGACGTTGAATGTACTATGCCGGCAACTTGCAAAATGCGACGACACACTTAGTAAATGCGAGATTTAATGAAAGATTGAATATGCTCCATATAACTATCCACCCAAAATAAGGTTTCACATCATAATTTTGTAAGCCCGTTAATGGGACAATAAACTATCTACTTTAATTTTATCCATAGTTTTTAATATTTTATGCATGCATTATCAAATATTTAAATTATGGAGTTTATATTACATCTGGTTTATACTTTAATACAAAAAAAATCATCAATATAAGGAGGAAATATATTTTATAAAGGTGGTAGCTAGATATAAGTAAAGGTCGAATATAAAATAAGATGAGAGTGAAAGGAAGCATGAAAAGGAAAGTGAGCATAATGTAGTATTGTGATATTGTAATAAATTACATATATTTTTTAGGGTTTTTGAAAGATAAACTTGATCACATAAGGTATACTCTTTTTAGGAAATTTTTGTATACTCCGTAAAATAAATAAAGGAAGATATTGTAATTGAGGAATAAAAGGGGAGCAAGCATATGAAGAATGTAGATTAATTATGTTCTCCCATATTTTGAATGTTTGACTCACTTTTCATTTTGGAGTCTATTAAAAAATATACTTCATATCATTTAACATTTAATTTACACTATTTACCCTTTAGGTCCCATTAACTAGGTCTCTTACATAAGGACTTTCACTCACACATTGTCTTTTTTATTATTCTCATTGTTTCTTTTATACCCACCTATATTTTTTTACTCTATCCACTTTTTTCTTACATCTACTTAACTTTTCATACCTAAACACGTTGAACGTAATATAGTGAGTGGAAAAGTGTAGAAATTATGGGGAAGGTCGATGGTTATTAAGATAGCTTAATATGTTTGCCAAGAATGCCAACAATGTGCTTCGTTTTAAATTGAAAATGAGTCAAAATCTAGGCACGTAAAAATGGAGTACGTATATGTATCCTTGAGAGTTTGCTAGAATAAAACATGAGAAAAGCTAGCATAAAATAGAATTTGCATCCCCTAATATAATAGAATATTAATGTATGGTAATGCATGCCATTGCATGAGGTAACTTCTAGTTTTGCTACATCCATAGCAAGTTTTAAAATACTTGCAATAAATAAGTTATGTAGAAGTGAAAATAGCTTAAGATGGAATAATATAAGTTGATATGTTGTTCCCTTATGTTAGTAATTAAAAGAATAATTACTTTAATGTAAGAAAATTCAATTACTCTACATTTCATCATCACTTAAAAAACTAATACAATATCAAAAACTGTTTGCATCAAGACAAAATAAGCCATTAAAAAGATAACTTTAGCTACTCACATTTTAAATTTTCCGGTATGACTCCACCAATGCCCTGAATTAAACACCATAACATCAGCCCCTCGCCATTGTTTAGAATTGGATGAAACCTGGTCCAACACAAG